TGAGGTTCTGGTCAGTCTGTGGTTCTGCTCAGTCTGTGGTTCTGCTCAGTCTTTGAGGTTCTGCTCAGTCTGAGGTTCTGGTCAGTCTGTGGTTCTGGTCAGTCCAGTTCTGGTCAGTCTGTGGTTCTGCTCAGTCTTTGAGGTTCTGGTCAGTCTGTGGTTCTGCTCAGTCTTTGAGGTTCTTCTCAGTCTGTGGTTCTGCTCAGTCGGTGGTTCTGGTTGGTCTGTGAGGTTTTGCTCTGTCGGTTCTGGTTAATGAATTGGACCGGGCCCTCTGAGACCAGAACCCAGCCTTTGTGTTCCTGGAACTAGACTTCTCCGGGGAGCCGTCTGTTTGTTTGGAACGGTTGCCGTGGCGACTGTGTGATGTCATCGTGCCTGGCAGGTGAAAGGGATCAGGAGTCCAGTTGCAGGTTCAGGAGGATCCCCAAACGGACCAGAACCTGCTGTTACCATCCAGGACTGTACCCGCATGGACAACTGGACCGGACCAGGGTCTTTCAGTCTGAGCTCAGAACCGGATCATTCTGGGGGACAGCTGGTCTGGTGGCGCTTTGCCACCGTCTCAACTCTCACTGGCTCCGCCCCCACATGGCACCAGTTAAGGCCCGCCCACTGCCGGTACCACCCAGCTCAGCCCGGTTTATGCTTCCAAGCGGGCTGCTCCGCGGACTCGGTTCTGATGTAAGCAGACTGCAGCCCTTGATTGACAGCTCCGTCACTTGATGACCCGCCCAACAGAACTTCATCAGAACCTCCACTTCCTGTTGACGGATGGCGCCACAAGACGGCTACACCCGGACCTTTAGGCAGCGCCGGGACCAGGTAAACAAAGTGAAGTCGGACCACAACGAGAGGAGTGGCTCGAACACGATGACCTGTGATGACCCCGCCCACTTTGCATTGATGACCCCGCCCACAGAGTGTGGAAACAAACCACCTCCACCTGAGGAGAGCCGAGTGGAGGAGCGCTCATTAAGATCGGATCAGTTCATTTGTGTTGTCCTGGAGAACATTGGATCAGAACCGGTTACTGATTGGGTCGTAAACGGTGATCAGTACTTACTGATCAATAATCTGGTTGACATGACACATTCAGACCAAATCAGTTTCCTGAAATGATTAATCTGTTGATCAGGTGGGAGGGGCATGTGGGGTAGGTGTGGCTTGTTGACACAGAAACAGGAAGTACTGTTTTCAACAAATGAAAAAGATTGAGAAGTTTCTGGACCCGGGTCGACCCGGTTCCTCTGACCATCTGTCACCTGTTGGCTCACCTTTAGGCCACGCCCCCTCCTGTCAATCATTCATTAAAGGCTTATATGGACGACGCCACGGCAGCAGGTCCTCGTTAATCTGCTTCTTCCTGCAGCGGCAGACGGACCGAGAGCAGCTCGGTTCTGGTTCTGATCCACCTGTGGACCCGCCCACACAAGTAAGCTTGACTCCTCCCCCTTCTCTTTGGTTTTGTTGGACCAAAAACAATGTTTTTAATTTCTGCTTCGACTGAGAGCGGTCCAATCAGGAGGCAGCGCCGCAGAACTATGTGGTCCCAGTTGGACCCGGTCGCTTCTGCAGAACAGGAGGTGGTGAAGCAGAAGGCTCCAGCTGATCTGAGGTCAGTCTGAGTCCTGGTCCAGAGTCTGGGTCTGAGTCCTGGTCCAGAGTCTGGGTCTGAGTCCTGGTCCAGAGTCTGGGTCTGACTCCTGGACCAGAGTCTGGGTCTGAGTCCTGGACCAGAGTCTGGTTCTGAGTCCTGGACCAGAGTCTGGTTCTGACTCCTGGTCCAGAGTCTGGGTCTGAGTCCTGGACCAGAGTCTGGGTCT